TCCAGTAAAATTAGTGGAGTACTGGTCTATGGTTTCTAAAGTATATTAATTATAAATAGGATATAGAAAATATTTCTGCTAAAAGCATTTTGGGGTGTCTCTAACATTTCTTAGGTATCATTTTAGATCATAATTATTAATCATCCAAAGATTTGTATTAATGTGTGTATTCACAGTCACAATATTGTATATATAATACAATTTTCCATTTCTCCAAGTAGGTTTTGAAGTTTTGTCAGTAAAAAAATTGAGAACCTATATAACTTGATGTTTTAGCATTCTTTGTGAATCAAATCAGGAAAAAAAACAAGTAGTTTTTTTCACCATCAGGAATCTTTTGTTGTTGTTGTTCATACAAAATACTCCAGAGTTTTAAAGTTTCATGTGAAGCCAAAACAAAATATAATCAATTATCTAAAGGCAAACAATGATACCAACTATTATCTTTTGTAATACTCACGTACTTTCTATTGTGAAATTTCAGTGGTTCATTGAGGTTTTCAAGTTCTAGCGTAAAGAGGTCAATCAAATGCTGTGAGATGCTCCAATTTCAAGGTCTTAGATGATTGGAGCCTAAGAAACTTATAGGGGACTCCTCACAGGAAAACACTATTTCAGAAAAGTTTGAACGAAGCTGTATTGGCTAACTACAGTTTGATATTGCTTTGCTTTTGATTGGAAAAAGCATATCTCACATCATTACATGAGAATCAGAAAATGATTGGATGACTTCCGTTTCTTTAATAATAAAGGGGAAAACCGGAAATTATTTTTGATTAGCTTAAGAATAATGGTAGCCCAAAGTACTGACTGCAGCTTGGAAATCATTGTATTAGAAGCATCCTGTTTCACAGTAGAATTCTGAAGGCCTAGGGGAAATCACCACGACTTTTGGATTAGAAAGTATATGAAGAAATATTGGAAAGATATATTTAACTTTAGTTACAGAATTTTCTAATGTCATCATTATTATCTCAATTTGCATAGCCTTATACATTCTGAAGAAGATTTCAGCATCGAGTTGTCTTTAATTTGCCCTTTGAAAGTTCATGTCTGGCTTTATTAAAATGAGTTTTGTTTAGTGCCACGCTTTACATATTGTATCTAAATATGAATAGCCAATCCCACCTATCTTTATATAGAGGGAAATGTAGATATCGTTTTGCAGCCTTCAGAAGGTGAATTTTTATTCGACTTGCCATATTTTACACAAGAGTGTGTAGATGCATCCTCAACCTGAAGATACCACCTGCTTGGCAGGCACCAAAAAAGAAAAATACCCAAATTCTTTAGGTGGCAGCTTTGGGGATTTTTATTTATTTTAAGGTTGTTTAATTATTTCTTCATTGTTGATTTAACAAAAATTAAATATACCTCTGCTGGAGACATATTGATAACTTTTGTCTTCATTTTTTTAAAAGTATGTGTAAACTGTACTTGGGCTTGGATTATATCATTCTTATATACCTTATACAAAATTCTTATATATCTTATACAGGGAAATATCAATGCTTTTTAAAGTTATTTAGGAGGGAAACAGAAGTCATGCTTTTAAGCTCATTAGTTTAAGGTCTTCCGTATATAGCTCTGGCTTTTGTAGGGATGAATGCTCTGGAAAACCATGCTTTACAGCAATACAGGAAGGAGAACCGAGGGCTGCGGGTTTCTCCACAGTCCTCCTGGGAGCAGGCTGCTGTATGTCAGTGTTTGCACCTGCATGAGCAGTGAAGGCTGCCTTCACCAATGCTGATCAACTCCATTCTATTCTTTACCTCCCCGCCCCCTTCTCTTCCTGGGGAATCTGGCTTTCCTGTCACTCAGGATAACGATTTCCTGCAAGCATCTCGGAGATCCAGAAAGTCACTGTAATCTCATCAAGAGTGTGATTCCCCAGCTGGGACTGTTGAATTTATATAACCCTAAGGTAGCTGGTCAGCGTGCTTAATCCTCCACGTTGGTGTGCTGAGCCCCCACACCATTAGAAATAAAAGTCCTCTAACAAAGATGACCTCATTAGTTGGCAGGGTTAGAGAAGATATGTCCCCAAATTAGTACAGACTTAATAAAAAAACCTATTATTTAACCAATATTTTATGGGTGAATGCAAACAATGTTGTTTTCCCCATCTTGACCAAAAAGAACTCAGTCCAGGCATAAAGTAAATTTCCACTGAGCCCAGTGAAAATTGGGCAGGAGGTTGGGCATACATCTTCTGTTTTGTGTGGCCTATGGGACACTAAGGAGTTCTGTTACTTTTTTAACCCTGGAATAAAATTTAGAGAAACCTGACTTCAAGCTTCTGGTGAATGCCTTGATAATTTGTTCTAATTAATGCACTAGTGGTTTTCCTGTTTTCTCACACATTTTAGGTGATTTCCCAACAACTCATCTCTAGGCTTCATGTCCTCAAAAATCTTGATATAAGGGAGAAATATTTTTTAAAAGATGCTTCCCTGCTTATCTTCACCCTTCCCCTGCAGCGGTAGACTGTATCTTTATATATGGAGCTACATATTGGCCTCAATGTATGCATAATAATACGCACACGTCACAGTGCTATATTTTGTCACAGGTTGTATTAGTAAAGAAAACCAGTTCTCTGCTTTTCTCATATTTGCACTATCTAATTAATTTTTGGTGCTAACAAGCATTAAGTGTTTTTCTTTCTCCTCACAACAGTGACCTTTGCTCTCAGGTGGCATTTTATGAGGCTTGCTTTTTCTAAATATTGCAAATAAAATTGAGTAATGGAAAGGGGCACAGGAAGAGCAAAGAGTTGGAAAAGAGATTTCAAAATGTATCCAAGACATAAGGAGTTCACCTCATTTAAAAAATGTACTCCATACATTTTTCTGTTTATCTTCATAAACATATATGTTTATCAAGATACAAGATTATCTAAGTATATACTTACAGTCTTGTTTCCAGTTGGCATCTGAAAGTAAATTGGCATCTCTATGTCATATTCTATACATGAAAATGTGAATATATATGAATATATATGCACATGTTTATTTTTCATATGTGAATCTGTAATTGCATGGATATGTTTGGATCTAACTTATCTTGTTAAAAATGACTACATTTATATAAGTATGCATACTTATATAAAATTTATTCTTAGTTGGCATCAGGCAGCAAGCTTAGCATCTGGTATAAACGTCTAAGTTTTCATTTACTGCTTGTGTGTGTGTGTGTGTGTGTGTGTAAAGCATGAATATTAGAATGAATATGTTTATTACTTCATATACTTCCTTTAATAATGACTAAATAAATGTAATGAGCATATACAATTACATTTATCATTCAAAAGTTAATTTTGGAAAGTGGTAAGGGGTTTTTCTCATCAACCAAATCAAATGATGGGGATTCAGGTATTCATAGTGAGCTGGAGAGAAGAAAACATTGTACTATGAGGAGTAAAGAGTAAAATATTAATAAGTACTATTTATGCAGGAATAATGGACTTTCTTGTTTGCATTTTTAGAGAATACTTCACAAATTAAATATTTTTGTATATACATTATACAAACTTGCATTAGAATCATTGGTTTCAGGTGCCTGGCTGCCTCAGTTGGGAGAGCATGAAACTCTTCATCTCGGGGTCATGAGTTTGAGACTTACACTGGGAGTAGATTTTACTTTAAAAAAAATCATTAGTTCTTACACATTCTTTTGAAATTTATTGACTGCGAGGACAAGTTTTTAAAAATTCTTTTTAGTGCAAATAATGAAAAGTAGCTTTGCTTTCCAAAATGGTTATTTTTTTCCATTTAAATTTCATGGACATTTTTAACCAACTAATACACTTTTATTTTTAGATGACATTGTTACAGTAGGACTGTGTCAACCAAATAAGTCAAATGTGAGAAAGTAAATAAAAGCTAACCTCAATTATTAAAGAGTACTTAGAGTAGAATTTTTCATGTATTTTCTGAAATATGAAATTCAAGTGCTATAACACTGTCTTAAGATGTGTTTATAAGAGGTATGTGTGTGTGTTCGTGCTCTCTACCTACCCAGTAATTTAGTAACATTCAACATATCAACTTACTTACTTATTCTTGGCAGACATCTTTATTCTACACAGGATTGTTGGACTGGTCTAAGGAAATAAAATCAACCCTCTTTAATTTGCCCCTATAGGAAAATTTAGCTTATTGTTTCTTATGTACCTTCAATATGTTCTCATGTGATTCTGTTTTTTAAAGAATACAAGTATAGTATAATGTTCAATACTTCACCGTTTTTCTGACCAAAAAACAACAACCAAAAAAAACCACTGTAACTAAGCATTTTGTTAAAATGGTTGCTCATACTTCTGGTGCTAACTTACTACTCCTTTAGAAAACTACAGTCTTTTTATGGCACAAAAAGATAGTTATGCTCCACTGAGTATAACTGACTAGTATAAGTTTGTTTCATACATATGACATTAATTTGTTGAAAATGCAGACTTTCAAATAGTAGCATATATTGTCAGTATAGTTCTCATTAGATTATTTGTAGGAATGTTTAGCATTAGGAGTTGTTAAATGATAGAATTAAGATCAATGTAATATTTGTTGTCCTGTCATAAATGAAATTCCCCAGAATAAAGAAATTACCTCTCTGAATTCTCTAAATATCCACCTTATATAGGATGCGTATGTATGCAGCAAATACAGATTTTCTGGCTGGACTTGCTACTACTGGCTAATAGTTTGAACCTCCCCCTTTATTCTGATGGTTATCCATGTTCTAGGCTTTGTTCCCTGTATTTTTTAGACTAATGTGTTTTAATCATTATATTCAGTAAATTAGCGTTAAAGTCAACATCCTGATTTTTGTAATGTTCTAAGACTGAACATTTCTTTTTTTTTTATTAAATGTTGAAATATACAAGTCATTATGTTGTGTATTGCTGACTAAAAATATTGCTGAAGTGTAAAGGAGAAAAATCTAATTTTATATTGGCATAGAAAGAAAGCTTAACTTGTTTTCTTGCTCTTTTTTTATAGAGAACACCTGTTCCCAGCGCTGAAGCATTCCGATGGTTCTTTTAAAGCAGTAGTGTATCTTATTTTCAAGGCATTTGGAAGTGAAGGGCAAACTAATGTCTTGTTTTAAGAAACTGCTTAGTCCACCACTGAAGAAAATATCCAGATATTATTTTCATTTTATGTATAGGGGTTTCTTCCAAAAAAAAAAGGAAAAGAAAAGAAAAAAGACATATAAAAATAATCTGGGAGCTTGGGGAATTGGCCAGTCTATTTACTTTCAATACACTGATTCTTTCTTTGATGTAATTTAGCTATACTAGTGAAGTTGTTGTCTATTTTGAAAGTGGCTGTAAAAAATAAGTTTGGGTAAACCCCTGCTGTAAAATCATGTATCTTTACAAAGTACATATCTATACTTCATTTTCAAATATATGTGTTTCAGTACTGTAAACTGTACAGATAGCAGCTTGTATTTTGTGTGTTTAGACACAAGGAGACAATCATGTCTGAGCATCTATGGAGATTAACAGTTTGTACACAACAGTATGGTTCTGCGAGTTAAATCTGGAGCAATAAATTTTAGCTTTAAATATTTTTTGCCAGTTGTTTCTAGAAGCAGCAACAGCAGGGGCATGTTTTGCCATGCATCTTTCCGTAGAGACTTGATGCCAAGTTTTACAAGACTAAAAGATTATGATGCATCCAGCAATTACCTTCAGTTGTATTGTTATAAGAGGGGAAGATGTTATGAAAGTTTCAATTAATCTTTTGAGCACTATATTAGAGTAGTGGTTATGCACTTGCATTGCTTACAAACAAGCTGTACAGAAGGGTATACCTCCCAAATACTTAGTGTAGTTGACTTGTCTTGGGTTGCACTGTAAGGCGGAGTACTCAGAGTAGTTGGGAACATGCAGAATCAGTTGTATAAATTAAAAAAAAAAAAAACAAAAAACAGTGTTTTCTAGGATACAGAGAAAAGTATCATATCTTAGGGGGAGAAATTCATGATTGACTTTTTTTTCTCAGCCCAACATGGGGTATATGTATTTTTTGTTTGTTTATATTTTGCTCTTTTTTTTTTTTTTTGGTAGGAAAAAGAGACACTTAATAAAATGTACCCAAATGTTTTAATTCAATGTATGTTATGAAATGGGTAGTTTGTTTTAAAATTTGAATACATAAAGACTTCCCGCATTGAGGCATGACTAGATATATTTTTAAGTTAAAAAGAATTAAACACGTTCATAAAAGTGAGGCTTTTAAATCTCTTTTTCGCTTCCTTTCTCATAGCCTCCCAGTTGGACCAGTGGCCTTCCCCTAGGCCCTCAGTGGAATGTTCCATTGCTCCCATTCCCATTTTTGTCACTTGATGCTTTCATTCCTGAGAAGGCAGGGCCACATTCTGTGGAATTCCATAAGTGCAAACAGCCCCAAACACAAAGGAGCTAATGCTTCGTAGGATCTGTGCTATATTTTCATGTAGGATTTGGTTTTCTTATGGCAGTCAAGGTTCCTAAGGCTGTCCCGATAGGACAGATATTATTTGTGATAACATGAGACCTAGGAAGTTTATTTCATTTTCTTTTTCTTGCCAGATCATAAAGACAGTTTTCATCTTCAGGAATAAAATAGAGTTTAGCAAAAATACATGGAGTATCGAAGTTGCCATGTTACTGTAACTTTTGTTTTTTATCCACTAGCCAGCTCTTTTAGCCTGTGACATCCACTAGTCTGCTGAAAAATGTTAGCAAGATGGATTATGCAAAGAAAAATAACTTGAGAAAGGGTGATGAAAAGGGCTGTAAAGTTTTAGAAAGACTAGCGGATTAATAATTTTAAAAGGCTAGTTGTAGTTGTGAATGGGAAATAATATGACAGGAGATTTTAAAAAACACGGAAGGAGCACTTCATCATGAGTCCGGGTGGGAGGGTGGAGAAGGTACCTGCAAACTCCAATGTGAAAAGCAAGTGACTGAACCTGGCTAGAGTGGGAACGCAAGGCCTCCAGTTACAGTCAAATGGGCTTTTTAAGGAAAATTGATTCTATATTACACCTATCCATGTTTCAAGAAGATCATTAAATAATCGCCAGCTAAAATGTGCTGTATGTTAATTCTGAGATAGCTTTCTGCTTGATGTATATTCCTTTGAGGGTTTCTAGTTAGAATTTCTGTTTCTGCTGTGGGACCAATGAGAACTATATGAGTTCTTTCTTGTCCACTTTGATTTGATTTGACTTATTTTTTAAGCCAGTGTGCTAATTAATTACAAGTAAGCGAAAACTTACTTTCACACTTGAATGGTAAGTTTGCCTTGCTTTTTGGAAAATGATGATTGTTACTACACAATTGAAGCAAACGTCAATTCAAGCTGCATTAGGCATACAGTAACATGTAAAGATCTCATGACAATGTACTGAGAGTCTAAAATACATGCTAGTATTGCACGTCTTGATGTGTTTTTGTTTGTTTTCTTAAAGAACTAATGAATCTGTGTATTGTAAAATGTGGTGTTTTACATGTCAATTCAATTTTTTTAATGAAAGAAAATCTGTTGATTATTGAAATGGAAAAGTGCAGCTTTTCTTTCTTTTATATGTTTTTATTCTTGACATTGTTCTTTTACACCAACCAATTTTTATGTTTTTGGTAAAACTCTGTTTATATAATGTAGGGTACATACAAAGTTCTCGTTGGTGATGTTGAAGAAAGATGTTACTCTTCCGGTCTCCCTTTGGTTCTCTTCTCCGTAAGTCCATATACTGAGAACTTGTAAAGCATATCATTATAACCTCGAGGGAGTGATTTAAAGGTTTACATTTTTCACGATTCTAAAATACCAATGCAATGTAACTTTTGAAAATTGTTCACTGTACGTATCACATTCAGTACCAAGAAAAATCAGAAGATAACAATCAGAATATAGATCATGGCGGACTATACAACTTAAAAATTACATATCAGAGAAGCCACATTAAAAGCTTTGTAAGGGAGGTCGACATACACAGGACTCTTACCTTCTCTAGGCGTAGACAAGGAGATGCCACTTTCTGTCAGCAGTTGGGGAGAGCTGGAAAATACGAGGGGTATTAGTACAAAGTGCAGTGAACCAATTTCCTTGTCAGCTGTCACTCAGCACCCTAAACATTACAAGACCCTCATAATGCAAACCTCCCTCTTTCCAGGCCTTCAGACCAAAGTGGCTTTCTGATGGATTTTGCCTGCCTGTGTACAAGATGAGGCATATTTACAAACAAGAAATGTATCCATCCTTAGGAAAGAAAAGAGTAAAATCTTTCTCCAGTGTAAGAGTATACAAAAACATCTCCTGGTTGCTTGATTCCCCAACACCCAACTGCCTACTTCTAAACACATTTATAGGGAGCAAGAGATGGTGGGCTTCCCATGAATTAGTATTAAGCAGTCACTAACAGGAATATTCCCTTCCTTTCATTTAGAACCCCTGGCATGTAAGTTGTACAATTAATGCTAAAGCATATAAAGTCTTTAAGCCGATAGTATCTGTAATCAAATAATGAAAAAAAGGAAAGCAGTTAAATGAGCACACTATTCAGGGTCAAACATGTTCAGCAAAAAGCCGTAGTGGGTCTTTGATCATGGTTAGATTCACAGTGATATCAAACAGTTGGTTCTCATGTAACAGCTAAATGTTTCAGATTTTGTTTTTATTAAATTTGGCAGTTTCACACTGAGATCTGTATTCCTAGTGAATAAAAGACAGCTACTATGTGAGGAGGGATTCCATTTTCACAATGACAAGGAAGTCAGATAGTTCAGGAACATGGGCCACAAAATGTACTCCTTTCACAACGTTCTCCTATTCTGAACTGTGCAGTCATCTATTAAATTTTCTAATAGATATTTGTGTAAAGGTGTATGTATGCTTGTGCAATTATAAAAAAGCAGTTTTGGAAAACAGTGTATTTATTAAAGAAAATTACTTATGGGGCATGTACAAAACTGTAAAAAAAAAAAAAACCCTAAAAAAAAAACCACATTCAATTTGCCCAGTAAAGTTGTTTTTGTGAAATTTCTGTGATGTTGAATAAAGGACTTTAGTATTCAAAATATCTCTATTTTTCCATGAACAAATTTTTATTTGTGGGAATTGAAGTTATGAACATATGATCCTGAAAATCTAATTTTATGATTAAAAAAAGTTTTTAATTCTACACTTGCCCTTATGTCAGCAGAATGAATACTGTATATAAATCTTTCATAAAATATGCCAGTTTTGTTCATTTTGTTTTTCTCATAGATTTTGTCTTTCTCATATATTTAAAGACAAGAAAAAAAGAAGAACACGGTTCTTTTCACATTTCTAAAGGATATATTCTTTGTTGAAAGCTTTAAAAGGTCACCTAAATAGAGGAAGAAATGAATGTATCCAAACTTGTCTCCTTCCTTCTCCATCTTAAGTGTGCCAGGAGAAAGCATCCCATGAAAGCCTTGTGCCATGAATGAAACGTCCTGGTGGTAATACTTGAAAGCCTTCAAGTGCATGAAGAAATGAGCAACACTGGAATTCTATCTTCAGCCCCTCCCAGCAATTCTCTGAGATTAAATTTTTATTGTGTCACTTTTTTTATTATGGAATACTGTGGTCCAACCATGCTGCTTATTACTTGGTGGTGAATGTGCTTAACCCTTACTTCACTGCTTCTCAGAACAAAGCTCTCATTTTTTTTGATGCCTCATAACCTACAAGAAACGTAGAACACAATTTTATATTTTGGAAATCTTTAATATGATTGCAAACCCAGGACTTCAGACAATTGAGAGAGTCCATGTCCACAGAAAATCATACCACATTAGAAGATTTTTATAAATTTTAGAAATTTCAGGATGTGTTCTCTTAGTATAATATCACAAACATAAAATGTCTTGGCCATGGCAACAGAATTAGATTACATAGTCTGAGAAAGAAGAATTAGGTAACTTGAATTATGGGAGTTCCTGGATCCTCAGCAATTTTTTCAGGTGAGTTGCTGTGTTTATTATACTGTGGTATAAGCAACAATAGGGCAAAAATACAGAATTGGATTTTCATAGAAGATAGCTTTCCTTATTTGAAATCTTCAAGTATACAAGTACTTGGAGGTTCATTTGTAATGATAAGAATAATTCAGAATAGTTTGAATTAACCAAGAAGGGAGAGGGGACGAGTTCTATAC